AAATCAGTTTATTGAAGGCAGGCTTCGGCGAGCGCAATCTCTCGCTACAATTGCACAATTTTTTGGCTCTGCATAACTGAATTTCATGCTTACAACAACTGTTAATCTGTCAGTGATCAGCATTACTATAAGCTACATGCGTATGTAAATAGAGTCAAAAGCTTCCACTAGATTTATAAAGTGCATTATCTATTTTCCGTCTTGTTGTTTTACTTTTGACTTCCACACGCGTCCGACTTTCACTCAGTAAATTTCACACATTTCTGTCAAAGGGAGAGTATGTACTTAACTTGCCATTTGAAGGTGGCTTAAAATTTAGAACGTCTAGATCATAGCTCTTTGGAGAAAAAAAAAATTAATTCAAATATTTTTTTTTTTTTTTTTGCTGTCGGCCTTTGGTAGGAAATGTCAAGTTTTATATATTTCGGATGTGAAACACAACCCTCTCATATAAATCCATAGAGTTGGATAAGAATAATGAAAATGTCATAAAAGTAGGTGCAAGGTTAAAGGCGAAACGATGGAATCCCAACGTCGACTCGGATGTCAAAAGTACATAGCTTCCCTTGCAACTCTTTTCGCGGTGGCAGTCAGGAAGAGGTATCCAAAGCTTCGAAGATTTATTATATTACACGTGTTAATCTCTCCACAGATCGTCAGCATACCAATAGATTAAATATTTAGTATTTACATGATTGAGGCTAAGGTCGGAGCTACCATCAGTCTCAGATTCCATCACGTCGATAGCTATCAAGAACAGTTCTATGTTAAAGTCGTTGATATTTTAAGAAATTGCCCTACATTATATTTAGGACGGTGTCTGGAAAATTATACTTCTTGGTAGCTGTGGACAGTAAAGAGTCAATGTGAAAATTGTCCTGAAAATTTTTGCTCTGAAGGCCCGAAATTTAGATTTTTTAGATCTTACAAAGATTACTGGGTATAAAACATAAACCTTATAATATATCATTGATGAGCAGGAAACATGTCAAGCTTGCTAAGCGATTGAAACATATCGTTCGAAGTCTCTCCAATTTGTTCACATCTTCTCACGTCTAACTTTCGCCCAATAAAATGAGTAAGTCAAGACTTTTTTCTAGTCAGGTATTAATAGTTTTTGTGCCACGTTTGTATCATTCTATATTATTTCTTATGGACTGCGCAAGCGGCTTATCAAATCCAAGCAATCGCAATTAAATAAGTCTACGGGTGGATCAGTGGTTCTTGCAGATTTGCTGTTCTTTAAACGTATAATAGCTATGCCAAGTTCAGCACAGTCAGTAGATTGGATGATCGTGAACAATTTAAATTTTCGGCTTCACACCTATTTTTGTAAACTAATTATTTTCTCAAAAGTATGTACTGGTTAATCGTAAAATTTTTAGAAATACGGCATATCAACGAACACCCTACAGCTGTAGCCCAGAAGTGGTTTATTCCATCTCATATTACGCTGACTGCCAGATTTTTGAGCTCGAAAATGAAATTCAAGATTTTATACGAATATGCTCTACCTAGGCCTGAAGGTCACAAGTGCCTTTTTTAATAGATATGTGTGGGATTTCTTGAACTAACTCAACTGTCCGTTGACTTTGATTTCGTTTAAGCGTTACTTTCGTTCAGTAAGAGCGACCCATTATAATGATATTGTTAAGTTAAAAGTTCCGTCCACTTCTTTATACAATATATTGGATAAGTGCATAAGTTCGTGCCTGATTTCAAGTGCAAACTAAAATTGAAATTTTTTGAAGAAAGCGCATTTATTAATTAACTATATATTCGCCATCATGTTCGGCAATCCACTCCCAACGTTCAACCAATTTACGGATGTCTGATTCATAGAAATCGCGCGGTTTCTCGTTGAAAAAGGTGTCAAGGTGGTTTTTGACGTCTTCCACATTTTTAAATTTTTTTCCATTCAAATTGTTCTGCAGCGATCGAAACAAATGATAATCAGAAGGTGCAATGTCGGGTGAATATGGGGGATGCGGCATGATTTCCCAATTCATCTCCTTCAGTTTGGCCAGGGTCGGTTTTGCAACATGTGGCCTGGCGTTGTCATGATGGAAAAGAACTCCTTTGCGATTGGCCAAAATCGGACGTTTTTCATCAATTGCTTTCTTCAATTCGACCAATTGCTGACAATACTTGTTGGCAGTGATCGTTTCTCCAGCTGGCAAGAGCTCAAAATAGATCACGCCTCGGATATCCCACCAAATGCACAGCAGTACCTTCATCGGATGCAATCCACCTTTCGACATCGGTTCCGCCCCTTCGTGTGCCTGTTTCCATGTTCTTTTGCGTTGAACATTGTTGTACAGGATCCATTTTTCATCACCAGTCACGAGCCGATCCAAAAAAGGTTCGTTTTTGATCCGTCGAAGCAAAGAAATTGCTGTTGACATACGGTCCACTTTGTTTTTTTCACTCAACTGATGTGGCACCCATGTATCGAGCTTCAAAGTGTACCCAACCTTTTTTAAACGACGAAACGCAGTTGATTTGTTGACGTTCAATTCACTGGCAACCTCTTCCGTCGAAATACGTGAGTTATTCGCAACTAAAGTCCTTAGAACATCGTCATCAAGCTCAGAAGGCCGTCCACTGCGAGGTTGATCTTCGAGGTTAAAATCTCCAGAACGAAATTTCGCGAACCATTTCTTTACTGTGCGGAGTGCTGGAGCACGGTCCAAATAAACTTCGCGAATATCTTTAGTTGCAGCGCCTACTGTTTTTCCTTTGCGGAATTCGTATAACATAATATGTCGCATATGATCTTTTTCGTTGTACATGTTCCATGCGTCTTTTCACTAAGCAACTCAAATCAAAATGAAGTTATTTTATGCTTGATTTACAGTTCGGACTGTCACCTTTCCAACGATACGCCACTCTCAAACGATTCGAACGGCATCCAGCGGAATCGGGCAAGAACTTATGCACTCATCAAGATAATATTATATATATCGGCTGAACTTCTACTCTGATTTGTGATACACGTGCAGATATTTTACCGCCTCTGAACGGCTGATAGATTTTTATGAGGAGCTTTTAATTAGAAATACTCTCGGCGGGCTTGACAATCCCTGAAATTGGATGTTGGTTGAACCAGAACTCCAACCCTGGCCTTCCGAGTGCAAGTACGCAATGCTAACTGCTCGGCAATTATATACTAACTTAAAACGTTTAAAAGAGACCTAACGATTTGGCTCTATAGAGATTGAGTCTTCCTCAATGAAAATCACTAATCCACTCTACAGCCTGTACATTTATAATCTCATCCTCTTTTCACTTGTTTCTTAGATTTTCACTTATTTTGTATAAAATTCAAATTCCTTGCAATCCCACAAATCAATTATTAAGTTTTTAAAATACATTTTAAAAGTCATTTATAATTTAAAAAATCTCCAAGACAAACGAAAGCACACATCCATATACATCACTTTGCTACCTTAACCCACTTCAGTGACAAACAGTCTGAACATTATTCCAACACATGTCAACCTCAACCCATCGTCACAACACCACTTTCGTTTATTTACTCTTCACTGGTTTGATTTGTGAGTTGTTGATGGCACGGAGGACTTAATGCTTTCATATATATTTTTTTCTTTCTTGGTTTGTCACTGCTTGCCAGAGGGTTAATCAATACCCAGTTAGCACACAAATGCGAGATTAATTGCGCGGCGAGGTAGAGAAGATTCTATAATATAATTTCTTGGAATCTAATTCGAAAAAATCTGCGAGAAAGCAATTATTTCAGAATAATTTTATGGGGGGAAAATACTAAATAACCTAACCATGAAATGAGTATCCTTATTATTATTATTCTAAAGTTTACGGATCGGTTCAAGCTCAAAGAAATCTCTGGAAATTCCATCAGATTCCAAAGTGGATTTTCGAATTTTGCAGACTTTGAACAAACTAATGCATATAACTCTACCCCTCCTGCAGTGGCATAAAATGCGGAACGAAGTCCACAAGACTATGAAGGCTACTTTATAGCCCAAACTTAGCGCTAATCACTTGGAAACTGCAAGGAGGATAGCTGTTAAACTGAATAAAAAACGGTGTTCTTTCAGCTAACGACTGACAACTCGAACGAACTGTGCAAAAAACCGCGAAATCACGAAAATTATGAACAAAATACGAGTATATGACGAGGAGCTTACCAAGCTCTTATAAACGATCACTAGTTACAGGCTTCAGCGGAGCCACTCCGACGTGTTCAGCTTAATAGTTCGCTGTAGTACAACTGTGGCATCTATTCACCAGAATTGCGACTCCGAGAATTCATCAGCTTTGCAGCAAACTGTGCGCTATCTTAATATATCTTAAATCTAAAACATACCCACCTGTTGGAGTTGCGCGCTGAGACAACAACCTCGGATAATAGAAACAATCTCAGTCTGGAAATCCAACGCTGAATCAGTCTGGCTAACAGATGCTACTTTGAACTGAGTAGGCAACTGAGAGGAAAGGCCTCTCTCTACGAATATCAATCAAACTCTACAAGTAGTTTATCGTTCTCGTCTTTCAGTATGGTACGGACGCATGGAATATGACAAAATCTAATGAGTCGGCGTTAGAAGTTTTCGAGAGAAATTTTGTTGTGTCCTCTACTGCAGTCGACTGGGCGATGATCTGTACAAATTATGCCGTGATATTGACTTGGTACAGGTAGTCAAGAGACAGCGACTACGCTGGTTAGATAATGTAGTTCGGATGAATGAAAACACTTCAGCTAAAGCAACGATGCAGTACCCACTGGTGGTATATAGTAGTGGAAGAAGAACACCTCCACTCCGTCGGAAGAATCAAGTAGGAAACAGCTAATCACCTAAGAAGAACCTGGATAATAACAAGAGGCTCACTCCTGATTTTCAATACTCCGATCTGCCACATAGTTAGTTATTCGGATTCTCTCGACTTGAACTGAATCCATTATGCTTATTGGGTACAATGGCTTGCATGTATGTGATATTTAAGCAGATGAGATTAATATGAAAACCATTCCCCCAGTGGAAACGAACGAGCCCGTTGACCAATTGCTTCGGTAGTGTATGACGTACCGAGACCTAAATGTCCATATGGAATTGGAATATTTGAATGTTGAAATGTTTGCGTTGATTGCTTCAAGTTGTTTTCGTATTTCATCACTACACCTCTCATGTCGTCTGTCATCTCAATTCGACCTCAGCTACTGGCTGTGGCTGCGGCTACGTCTGTCATTCACCGTAAAACCCCAGCACTACGTCACGGACTTTGATGTGCTAATACCAAGAGCACGGCCGGAGGCTTTGCTGCCACCTCATTCCCCCTCATTCATTTCGTGTTCATGAGTGTGTGTATGTAAAGTATTAGTGTAGGTGTGAGAAAGCGCTTAACTGACAGGCCAAATGAGGGTTAAAAATGTTTATTGCCTGAAGGCGGTCGAAATGTGAATGCAGACAGCGACCACCACTAACCACCAACCACCAAGAACTTTTACTTTGTTTATTGTTATTGTGCTGTTGAGCTGTTTGATATTTGTTGTTTAATTGTTTATTTAATATTTGTGATTTTAATAATTTTTTTATATCTCATTCTATTCGTTGTTTTGCTCTTTTGCCATTCCTTTTTTTGTTTCTCTTTTGTACGTTTTGCAAACATTCATCGTCAATTTTAATTGAATTTTCAATTTCAAGTGCGGTTTCGAGTGCAGCTCATATTCATTTACAATTTGTTTTTGTTTATATTTACAGAAGTTGCATTATTGGCCCGGAATTGACGATAAAAGTCTGCTCCATTGGCACTGTGATAAATCGTATCGCTTACGCGGCCGACTACTGCCAGCTGGAGGGCACTTCCGGACGTCAAACACAACCGATGCCCATACGTTGGATGGCATGGGAGAGTGTTTTGCTGGTGAGTTTGCCATGAAATTTATGTAAACGAAAAAAAAAGCAGAAGTACCAAAAAATTATACTTATGTTGATAGTTTTAATTCCAACCTTTTAAATAGTCTATAATTTGTTTGACTTAAATCAATAATAATTTAAAAGTAGTCCATTATTCTTGCAATAGGAGGCTTAGGGATCTGTATCTCGCGTTCTTTAAGTGCGATTAGATTAAGTTATATGGCTCACTATGAGCTGGTCCCCTACGGCATTTGGACCCTCGGAAAAAGGCATCTGCCTAGGACAACGCCAGATCACACACATCGGTAGTGACTTGTCAGAAGCTTTGGGCGAGATCATCATCTGTTCCTGTTTATTTCGATTGGTTTGACTGGTTATTTGAAGGCCTCAAAAGAAACCCTTAGCAAATCGATTATCGCCATTGCCAATGCGCGAAGGACCATAAATCGTTTGCAAAGCTTTTCCCTCGAAGACTCCCAAGTCCGACTAATCATATGTCTCCAACGGCCATGCTTCTGCGCCATACAGTAGAACGGGTATGATAAGCGACTTGTAAAGTTTAGTTCTCGTTCGTCGAAAAAATACTTTGCTTCTCAATTACCTACTCAGACCAAAATAGCACTTGTCGGCTAGAATGATTTTGCGTTGGATTTCAAAGCTAACCAGACTGTGGGAAAGGGGTCTTTTTGTTAATTTGGCAGAGCACACTTAGATTCCAAATGTCGGGCATGATTTCATTTGACCTTGTCAGTTCTCCACCGCCGTATTCGAATAGCTCACCAGGCAATCCAACAGTTCCGCCGCTCTGTTGGTTTTCCAACAGACTATTACTATTCGAACTTCTTCGTAGTCGGGCAATGAAACATCTGTGGCATCATCATCGATTGGGGAATTAAGGTCGCCACCTCCTGTTGTTCACTTTTCACTGCCATGGAGCAGCATGGAGAAGTGTTTTCTTCATAAATTCAATATACTCTTGACCTCAGTAACTATACTGCCTCTTTAGGTCCTACATTAGCTTGTTTTAGTCTTGAAACCTTCTGCAGATCGTCGTATATATTCATAGAATTTTCGAGCATTACCCTTGTCGGCCAGCTTCTCAAGCTCCTCATACTCTCGCCTCGTTCTTTTTGTATTTGCAGAAGCGCTTTGCTACCCTCTTCAGCTCGCAACCTGTTTTTGTGTTATTAAAACACAGTGGAAATTTTCTCTTCTAGATCATTGAATATTATCTTGAGTCACAAATTTAAAAAAAAAAAATTTAAAAAATTGTGATTTTTCCAAATATTTAACTCTTTCACTAAGAGCAGACGTTCAACATTAATTTAATTAAGAAACTTTTAATAAACGACAATTTTTGTTTGTTTTTATTGTGTGTAGACCAATAAGAATTTTTGGTTAATACGTTGCTCCTCTTCACCTCTCACAACTTCAACTTACCACTACCACGAATATCTCCAACCGCTCTCAACTCAACGCTCCGCATCTCACACTTCACGGTGTAGCGTGAAAAAGTTTCATACTTTCATTTTGTTCATAATTAAAAATTAATGAAGAAATTTATAATTTTCGAAACTGGGACAAAAATAATTGGCAGCAACGCCATAGCTGCAGGAAGTAAATTGTCAATATGCGGCGACATCCTTCCGCATTCTCTGCTGCTCGACAACTGGGTTGCTGTGCGTGTGTACTCGCGTACAAACTCGTATGTATGTACATTTAATGATGGCACTCAGCTATCTCTGCTGATAATGATAGCAGTTTGCTAAAGTTGTTTTGTATGTATGTGTATATACATACGTGTGGGTATGCATGTTTGTATTGAATGCATGCCAGATAGAAGCAACTTTGTTGATAACGGTTCAACACATTTGTCACACACACACACACACACACAAACACACACGCACACACACACACATTCAAAGGAAAAAATAACGATTTTTAATTACTTTCCATTACAAACATTTTATATCGATAAATTTCATGGGATTATAATAAAAACGCAACACACATATATACATACATGAATGCACTCATACATCCATATAACTTTTATGATGAGTGAAAAAAGCTGCAAGCGTACGAGTATAATGAAAATGTGGCATGCAATGCTACTTTTAGTTAAAGTTTTAATGTTCAAATTGAAATGTATGAGCTGCTGCTAATGGATTGAGAATTTAGTGTAATATAATATGTATTGTAATAATCGTCGATAGGATTGAGCGCAATGTGGTGAAAAACGTCATGTAATTTTTTTACTGTTCGAAAAAAATTTAAATAAGAACCATTTAATGCCACAACTTTTAATTTGTGATGAATGAAATTTTTAATGGTATCATTTACCGTTAAATTTTATGTGTAATTTAATGTGTGCATTAAATATATACATATATAATATTACTTTATGTATGTTTTTCCATAGCAATATAGGAATTTCAATTAAATAATTTAAATATTTAATTAATTCTAAAATCAAGGAGAAATTTCCAATTAAATTTTGAAATCTTAAATATTTAATTCCACATACGAGGTGTGGCTAATGTATACATTTATGTTTTCTTAATTTTCAATAGTCTTCCTCAAGTACACTTCATATATCTTATACACTTTTCACGTCGTGACTACAATGACTTTATACCACTGAAAAAATATTCTTTAGATTTTCTGCGGCCGCTTTCATCTCACTCTCGTCTAAAGATCTTTGTCCCCAAAATTCTTTTTTTAAATATGAAAGGAAAGTCACTGAGAGTCAGGTTCGGACTGTACGGTGGATGATCTATTTCTGTAAATCCAGTAGCTTTAAGGCATGAATCGCAATCTGAGCGGCATGAATGGCTGCGTTATCTTGAAGAAACTTGCTTGGTCTTTTCTATACGACTGCCTCACGCACCTCTGCAAATTAGCGTAATACTGGCTGTTTATTGTAGCTTCCCTTGGCTAGCAATCAATTAATAGAATTCCCTCGGTATCCCAGAAAATGGTAGCCATAATCTGCGATGCCGACTCTTCTACTTTGAACTGCCGACTCTTCCACTGCATCGACTGCAGTTTGGACTCGGGATCAAACTGATGAATACAAGTTTCATCAACTGTTCAAATCATATTGGCACAACTCAAAAAAATCTTTACAACTCTCCAATCGTCGCTGCTTGTAGAGCGGCGTGAGCCTCACAGTAATTTTTTTCATATTCAAATGTCCATTTTTTACTAATCTGTAATCCTTCTGCTAACTGCCATAATTTAATTCTTCGATGAGCCAGTACTGATCTTGAAGCTATTCTTCGTTCGCAAACGTCACTGCGCGCCCCGGGCGAGGGTCATCTTCATAGGTCTTTCTTCCTTGTTGGAATAGCCGAGCCTGTTTTTTCACTCTCCTATATGAAAGGACAGAGTCCTGAAGAAGTGATGACATTTCTTTAAAAATTTCTAACAAGAAATTTGATAGCAGCGCGGTGCTCCAAATTGCGAGAATAGTGTTGTTGCTTGTTCCAGGAACAAAATGTTAATGCGCCCAATAAAAGAAAGTTGTGTTATTTATACTAATAATGAATCCCGCTATTAGATTATCAGTGACGAGAGATCCGTCATCTCTAACTATCTTAAGTCGCGAGATTATCAGTCGCCTCTCGTATTTAAGCTCTGAATTTTTAGTTTCAAAGTATGTAATTATTTGTTTAATAATCTTCCATATCTTGCAATGATTTTCGTAAATTAAACCACGATTATTTCCCAAATCGTTCGCGTTCGACCACTTAATTGCCAAATAAAACTCAATAAATGGCTCAGCTCCTTTATTTTAAACTCTCTATGATTCCATATTTGAATAACTGAGCCGGTAATTCATCGGACCCCGCGACGGTGAATAGCCGTTCAACCACAAAAGATTCGTATAATGAGCGTCTGTTCCATAGTGATTGATTGGGGTTCAAGCTCGCGAGCTTTCTGGTTAATTATTCCCTCCAGAAACTCAGTAGATTGTGGGCATCAGTGGTCAGATAATCCCTATGGGTCCAGCAACTTTTTTCATTCCACACGAATTCTCAACGTACCAGCTCATCTTTCAAAGATTTCTTTGTAGAAAAATAATTACCGTTGTATGAGTAGAAACCCATTGTGGTTGCAGGTTTTCGACATTGCCCTTCCCAGACAATTATATTTCAGTCCCCAGTAAAATTGCTCAGCCTCAACAATTTGGGTATGTTTCTACGCTGATATTCAATTTTCCGACGATTGTGCCGAAAATATGTTCTTTGCCTACCCTGTAGACTAAATTTCGTAGCATAATTTTGGCATCGTAGTTAACCAGCACTTCACACGCTTTTAAAAAACCGGACCTGGGCGCAAATTAGCTAAATGTTGCAGAGTTTCGCTTTGATGTTGATTGGGGGAGAGACGTTCGTCTAGGATCTACTAACTTCAGCCGTTGCCCCGTTCATCCTAATTTTCAAACGGGAATTTAAGTCTCAATATTAACAAAGACAAAAACCAGCTGGGCATCATCCTAATTTGAGGAACACACGTTCCAGATGCATACCTTTAAATCGTACTCCTTAAACCAATTAGACTGTGCGAACACACTGTCAGTCTTTGCCGGATTGACTACAGTACAGCTTATTCTCTTTTAGCAAGAGTAAGGATTGAGGATAGCCTTGCAACTGTAATTCAAAAGCAGGACTAAGCACCATTACATATATATACACACGTATGAATCTTCCTCTTCTTCTGGCGTAGGCACCGCTTACTCATTTTTAGCCGAATTTATAACATCGCGCCATTCTTTCCTTTATCTCGCTGATTGGCGCCAATTTGAGATACCAAGTAAAACCAAGTCCTTCTCTACCTAGTATTTGCAACGGAGTGGAGGTTTACCTCCGGCGTATACTGCATCACACACTCTTAAAGCTGGACTATTCGTATACATCCGGACCACATGGCCTAGGCTGATTTGCTGAACTATGTCAATATCATCGTATAGCTCGTACAGCTCAGCCATTCCATTGACTG